GGACTACATCATGGCAAAAAGCCCCAGAATATACCATACTCACTGATTGCTATGTGGAAAATCCAAAAGGTGAGTCATTGTCACAAACTGATGGTTAAGAGTTTTCAAAGGAGTAATTCTCTTATCTGCATCAATTGTTAGCATTTTTTTTAACAGATCAATGTATTCTCTTCGATCCGCCTTCTCAGCCAACATGTCTGTTCCTTCTAAGTCTGTAGACATATTTACCTTCCAGAGGAAAATTTAGAAATATTATACTTCTTCACTTAACCTTTAAAGCTGACATTAAATAGCTGCTCTTTCTCCAAACTGTATATATAATCATCAAAAGAGAAACCTGAGGAAATTCTCTGTATTACAGTGTAATCATTTTCACAGAAGGAAGCTCTTTTTATGCCATCTAATTAAAATCTTCATTTAAATTTAGTGGCAGAATAAAGCTGATAGATTCTCATCATAAAAATTTGGAACAAGCAAGTTAAGCAAAAGTGATTGTTATTACTTAGATATAAAAGTTTCTACTGTTGCTCGAGGTCAGGAGTTCGAAAGCAGCCTGAGCAAGAGTGAGCCTCCGTCTCTACTAGAAATAAAGAAATTAATTGGCCAACTAATATATATAGAAAAAATTAGCTGGGCATAGTGGCGCATGCCTATAGTCCCAGCTACTTGGGAGGCTGAGGCAGGAGGATTGCTTGAGCCCAGGAGTTTGAGGTTGCTGAGAGCTAGGCTGACGCCATGGCACTCTAGCCTGGGCAACAGAGTGAGACTCTGTCTCAAAAAAAAAAAAAAGTTTCTACTGTTGAAAATATTAAATGACACAAGTGTAAAGTGTTCAGAGTTTGTAACACAATAAGCAATCAATAAATGTAGCTCTTATGTAAGTATTTATTTAGTAGAGAAAATGGGACAATAAAGAACCTTCATAAGTAATATTTTAAAATATTGGTATATAACAAGACCAGTTAAGCAAAGGGAGAAATTATAAAAGTATACTTTGTTAGGATTCAAATTTTCTTTATATATATATATATATATGGCATAATATTAATGCATTTTTCTGTAAAAACTGAAAATGAATACTAGAAAGCTAACAGATTAAATTTGTCTTTAGTATAATCAATGAAAGTGTGTCTCTGATTAAAGAAATACATACATGTCTAACTTTCTGAAACTTTTTTTTTCCAGACAGAGTCTCGCCGTGTTGCTCAGGCTAGAGTGAGTGCCGTGGCGTCAGCCTAGCTCACAGCAACCTCAAACTCCTGGGCTCACGCCATCCTTCTGCCTCAGCCTCCCGAGTAGCTGGGACTACAGGCATGCACCACCATGCCCAGCTAACTTTTTCTCTATATATTAGTTAGCCAATTAATTTCTTTCTATTTATAGTAGAGACAGGGTCTCGCTCTTGCTCAGGCTGGTTTCGAACTCTTGACCTCGAGCAATCCGCCCTCCTCGGCCTCCCAGAGTACTAGGATTACAGGCATGAGCCACCGCGCCCGGCCTAATAAGATATTTTTAAAATGTCAATTTCTTTTGCATACTTTATTTTTTAAATCCAGGATTAAATCTATATAATAGAGTAGTATGCAAAACATTTTAAATGATAGGTAGAAGCAAACTTACATGTAATGATATTTTGCAATATATTAATTAGAAAAGCAGATTACTAACTAAATATAATCTCATTTTCTTAAAAAATTACATTTCATTGATTGTAAAAGGCACATTTTTCACATTAACATCCCTGAAATCAAGATATACATTACAACTGATAGGTATCATAAGTTAATTGTTAGCATTCTTTCTTTCTCAGAGGTAAAGAAAAATGGTGCATCTTTAAATCAGTGATGTCTTAGATTTGATGAAATATAATATATATGCCCCTTTATGTCCAAAAGTTTATATTTGGAACATAACTATATGTAGTAAATATTCATTCTTTCTTTCAGTAAGTATTTATTGAGGCAAGCAGAGGTGATTTTAAAACTGGACATGGTTCTTGCTCTCGTAGAGTTTACGGTTCAGTAAGGAACACAGACACTGAATGTATAATTCAAACTGAGTTGGTATTCTGAAGAAAATAAGTAGGCCTTGGCCGGGCGTGGTGGCTCATGCCTGTAATCCTAGCACTCTGGGAGGCCAAGGTGGGAGGATCGCTTCTGGTCAGGAGTTCGAAACCAGCCTGAGCTAAAGAGCAAGACCCTGTCTCTACTACCATTAATTTCAACCAACAATGATACTACATACAAAAGGGAACATCTTAAATGGAAAATATAAACTGCCACTGATCATGAATGCAAAAAGAACTACCTTCATGTGAAGAAGGTTAATATCAACAATAAAGCAATAATTAGAGCATTTCTACATAAACAAAAGTTTAGAAGCTTAAAATAGCAAAAAAGAAAAAAAAAGAAAGAAAGCTAACTTGCCAAGGATTCAAATTTGACCATCCAGGTACTGTAGTAGAGCCAAACTAAAGGCCATTTCCTTCATTCCCAAAGATCAGAGGATAAAAGGCAGATAACAGTGTTGAAGCTCTCTGAGGCTACACCAAGAGCTTTTATCACACTAGGCTGGCAAAAAAGAATCCTACAGAGCCATCACTGAATATTAGATCAAATTGTTTTCAGCAAATGTTGGGGGAGGAAAACAATGAGACATTAAAGATGTAGCAAGAACACAGCCACAAGATGGCACATGCTCCATGCCTCTGCAAAGACTAAGCTAAAAAATTTTTTTGAAAAATGAGAAAACCAGAGAAAACAGAACAGAACAAACAGGAAAAATAAAAAAGAAAGAAATCAAAGAAACTCCGTTAGTAACACAATCAAGTGGAGGGAATACCAGTACAGCGGCAGTCTGTTCAACCAGCGCCGCCGCCGGCTGCGCAGCTCAGAGTAAAGGCACCGCATACTGCGGTGTGATGGTGGCTACTTGAGGTGGAGAGTTGCTACCATTTAGTGGTGTACAGCTTCCCTGAACGTAGATTAGGCAGGTGGAGTGAAACAAACATGAAGGCAGGTTATCTGGAGTTCAGAAGGGTTCTCATTCCCCCAAGTTATTATTGACAATACACAGTAATTTCATATCACCTAAAATGTAGGTACCAAACACAACTTTCCCCTTCAACTCTGTACAGCATTGGCCCACTAGGTCAAATGTCAATGGCCTGAAGCAAAAAGTATAGGAATCTTCTTGGCCAGATTCAGGTCATCAGTTCTATGAAACAAAGACATTAAGAATCTCTCCTCCTATTCACCTGCTATATTGTCCTAAAAAAGAAATCTCCTCCTACTCACAAAAGAGGATTTTGGATTTCAGAATTCCTATGGATCACAAATATTTACAAATAGAACCTAAAATGTAGTATTTGTTGATATATTAAATATTTCATGATTTTCTCAATCATATTAGTTGCATGTTCCATGGCAAGTATGAAGTTTAAAGTTTTCTATACCCAGTTAAACACAAGAAATGAAGGGAATATAATATTGAAGAGGCATCCTAATGTGGTCTAGTCTCTTAACCATGATGCAATTTTTAAAGAGTAAGCAAAAGGTACAAAGAAGCAAAAGTAGAACCTTCTATTTTAAAATAAAATGTTGCTGTGTACTGTATCTTTAAGAGCTCTAAGGTTAAAAAAAAAAATTCACCCAAAATTAAGTAAACTTACTCAGAAGACTGTTTCTCAATGCCTGGATATTTACCTGTGCAAGTTGAAGGAAGACACTAGCACAGTTGCAACAGTGTTAGGAATGAGTATATTGTTTCATATAGTTACTTCATTTTAGCCCACAGAATCATGACCAAGAAAGATCTTGTAGTAAAAGAAAATGTCATTTTCTAGACAAAATATCTGATTCTCAATAGTGCTTCAACAATATTAAGCTGGCTTTTACCTGTGTAAGAACTCCTGACTGAATCTGTAATGGCTGAGCAGCCGGGCCTGGGGTACAATTGGCACAAGCATTATCCATCCTCACAGGGAATCCAGAATGTTTTGTTGTTGCTTGTAGTCAGCTGTTGAAAACAGCATCACAGTTAAATCACTTTCCTAGGTCTGTTTGTTTTAGATTTTTTGTTTTTAGCTTTTTTGTTCAACTAATCCACGATTCAGGTTATTTAAGACAAGTCTCATACACAGATCTTGGGAGTTAAGAAAAGGGAGACTTAGTTCCCCCTTGATGTCTGATTAATGGAAAGCCATTTGATACAGTGAGGCTGGTTTTAAGGAAACTCTAAATTTGTTTATGCTACAAAATTTAAAATATAACATTTATCTCATCCTCATTAGCAGTATAGGCAAAAATAAATAAAACCTTCGCTTAGTAAATTACATTTATTTTTTTCAATCACTAAAGGAACAAAAACAACCTTCATGTTTTTAAAATGATAATCTCTTAAAAGCAAGACAAATATAATTTTTTGATAATTAGATAGGAAAAATTATGAAAAGCTCATTAACTTATAATTTAAGTTACCCTTTGTTTAAAATGTTTTAGAGGAAGTTTTTCCCTACTCCTCAAAAAACATAAGCTAGTTCACAAATTAGTCATATACTTATCGTTAACCAGTGTGTAACTGAAGAAATTATGCCTAGGTAAAAATATTTTAAAAGACCATTTGGTTTATAAAACATTTTGTACTTATTATGTTTCTTATAAATAGGAAGATCTCATTCTAGGGAAAAGAGGCTAAAGACAGTTCTCCCTTTTGCCAAGACTTGAGAAAAGAGCCTTCTCAAGAAAGTTCTCTCATGGAACAGCTTTCTTCTAAACCTACCATATCAGAACTTTCAATATAGAGAATTAGTTTCTATTATGCCTACAATTCACTAATGCCTACAATTTTGTTAAGTGAGGATATGAACTTCTTTTTAAGAGATAAGGTCTTGCTGTCTGTCATCCAGGCTGGAGTGCAGTGGCATGATCACAGCTCACTACAGCCTCAACTCCTAGGCTTAATCATTCCTTCTGCCTCAGCTTAGCTTCCAAATAGCTAGGACTACAGATGCACACCATCATCCCAGCTAATTTTAAAAATATTTTTGTAAAGACAAGCTCTTGCTATTGTATTCAGGCTGGTGTTGAACTCCTGCCCTCAAGCAATCCTCCCTCTCAGCCTCCAAAGTGCTGGGATTATAGGCATGAGCCACCATGCCTGGCCTGAACATTTTAATTAGAAGACTCCCTCAGTGACATTTTCTAACTATCACCAACTAATTTCTCCTAATAGTACTACGGAGGTATTGAAGTAAGCATAATTCATAAACCACAATACTGTGATTTTCAGCAAGTCAATCTTCCAATTTTCCATTTCAGTGTTTATGAATAATTTAATAAGTTGTTATAAGAAAAATACAATCCAGAAATGTACAAAATAGAGGGAATAGTAAAATGAGAATTAAAATACTCTGCCAGTACCTTTTTTAAAAGTACTACTTACATAAAAATAAAAAGTAACAAATCCATATATCAAGATAAACAAGTGTCAGCCATGCTTCCTTAGGCAATGCTACCTAATAAGAAAGCTTGTCTTACAGTGTCAGGATACATGCCTAACTTCAAGACAAGGTTATCATAAAAGTCTCCTAAAAATGATAGGGCTATAGAGGGAAAACTTAGGAGGAAATGTTGATTACAGAAGTTAATCATGGCTCCCAGGGTGATAAAGTAAGAAGGACAAAATTACAGATAATAGTTAACCACTGAACAAAATATCTATCTATTTTAGTCAACTGAAATAGTATTGAAAGTAGGATTTATAGTACTGACCTACAAATGTGACTCTAAGTATTAGATTGCTACAGTATTTAGGCTAAGCACAGCAGCAAGCTAGTTTAAAACTAGTTCCTTCTTTGCACAAGTGGAAACAAAGAATTAACAAAAGGCAACACTTTTGGGAGTTTCTCCCTGAATCCTGACCTAAGAAGGATTAGTTCATTTTTTGCTGTTATTTTTGTTTTATTGAACATTTCCCTTTAAATACAGAACCTTGAAAGTATGGAAAGAAGAGTAAATTGCCTAATTGATGAGGGTCTATTCTCCTCTAAGTAGAGGCATCTTGTAAAATAACAAAGGTCAAAGAAAAGTGGGCAACCTGGAATATACAGAACTAATGGTAGAAATCAGAAATTGTGGAGGTTGGCAAATGAACCAACAACTCTTTACAGCTGTGAGTTTAAAACACTGAGAAGCAGTGGAATGGAATAACACTTCAAAATACATAAGCTATGAATTCCACTGCCTAGATTTAAAATAGGTTCTGCCATAATTAGTTATAATACTTTAGGCAGATGAGGGAATCATGCTCAAATTTCTCACTTATTTAAGTTGGGAATAATGACATTACCTACTCCTAAGGTTATTAGTGAGGATGAATTAATATATGTAAAAGCACTCAGAACATTATCTGGTATATAGTGGTATGTATCATGTATCATCACCATCACTTTAATTTTAAAACTCCATGGAAATTTATAATTTGCTCTACTATCTCCTCAGGTTATTCAGATTTCCTAGATAGGAAAAAACATTTCCAAAGCTTACACTTACCTAATTATACCAAAAAGGGTTATCCCATTTTTCCCCTCTACCTCTTCAGTTTACATTTTGTTTTGTTAAAGGAACTCAAAAGTTCTTCTGCTTCATCTCTTAAGTGTCATCTGAGAGAAGCAGAAAACTTCAGGTACCACATCTGAAAATTGTTCCAATGAAACTCACTTTGGAAAAGGTGGAAGAAAAGGTGGCTAATTTGCTAAGTTCAGTAGAAGACTTACTCAACATATGACAACCCAAAGCAAAGAATTTACTATTATGAAGCATATGCAGAAAATATTGGTAAATCAGGCTAAATTTGCATTTACGGATTTGAATCTGCTCCTCCGCTCTCCCTGTGGTTTCTCCCTGGTTACATCGCTATCGCTCTCCTGTCCTCCCGGTAATCTCTCAGTCTCCCCTAGCCCTCTTTTCCTTCTGCTTGCTCCGACTCTGTCAGAAACCAACAAACAAAAGAGTCACAGTCAATAAGTAACTGATGTAAAAAGATAAAAATGCTACCTGCTTCTATGTTAAGTGTTATGAGAAACCTGAATCCTGGTTTATTCTCACAGGGTATGGACATTGACTTCTATTGGGAAAGTCAAATGTATTCTCAGATTATAGTCTTAAAATAATTAACCTTCTAAATGGCTTATCAAATCATTAGACATATATTCCCATATTTCAGACAAAAGGACTAGAGAGACTGGATTACAAAACAATAATGAGGAAATAAAGGAGGATGGAAATGTGAAAATTAATCTTATTGCAACACATGGAGTCAGACTCCTTCAGCTATTCTGTTCCTTTGTTGACAGGAGCTTGCAGTAATGTTATGATTCATAAGCTGAAGTAGATAATCTTAATGTCTTCCCCACACAAGCATCTCAGCTTGTAGAATTTTTCAGGTCAATAAATAATGATCTTTATTTCTGAGCATAATTTAGAGATTTCTACATTCTTAAACATGATTTTACATTTTAGAATAAAATTACCTTTCATTTGGAACATAATTCTATAATAGAATGATATGGGAAATAAGTTCAATATATAGCAATTCTGATATTTCAACAAATTTTTTAAGATGTATATATTACAGCATATTGAAAGATACATGCTTACACAAGATATATGACACTGATACAAGAATTTAATGAGCAAGAAAACTGATATCAGGCAATTCCATTAAGGAAACATAAACTGAGCTCCTATATAAAGTAATATCATAATTAGATAAATAATCAATGTAAAAAGAGAACATCCACTTTGTGATATCACCCAATTTCAGTTACCTTGATCATCAGTGATAGACTTTAAATTTGTCAAAGATCAGGACTAAACAACTAGATCTGCCTAAAGCAGGCAGGTCTAATATAATATCATACGATACAGGAGTCTCCCCCTTACTTTGAAACGCAGGTGGACATACTATAAATGTTTGTTGGAATGGATCTGTCTGAGTGCAAATCTGGGTGGTTCCAGGCTGCAAGGAAACACCCTGCTGGGCAACTCCAGGAACTGGTGCAGCAGATGATGGGTACAAAGCTGACTGGTAGTTTAGCAGTGAGACATCTGAATTAGCCAGAGAAAGAGTAGCAGCTGCTGCACTAGAACTGGAAGCTAGAACACTGCCTAAAAACAAAAGGATTATATTTGTACACTGGTATAAAGTGAGATAGACAATATTTTTACAATACAGAATTTATCCAGAAAAACTTAGAACAAAGTTTTAAAATATAATCTTAACTATCCTTGAAATAACTCTCGGCTTAAGAAATTTTCCCAGTCCCTAAATTTAAGGAATATTGTAAGGTTGAATAAGCAAACAAAGAATAACAAATAGTCCTGTACTGGTTGTGGTATATAACCCCAACTACTTCTGTACAAAAAATAGATGGTAAAAGATCCCTCCAATCTCATATGCTCTTCCATTTAAAAGTAGACCTAACTAAGAAATTGGAAAGCTTTCATCTTTAGAAATAAGCTTAAACTGTAAATATTACTGGTTAGCAAGCAAATGCAAACCATCCTTAAAGTCAGTAAGTGGAAACCTTTCAAATCAGGTTTCAAATCAGAAACCTTTCAAATCAAACCTTTCAAATGGAATATATAAATCCTTCTCCTAACAGAGAGAAAGAGTCATTTAGCCAAAGTTAGTATAACTAGCAGCAGTACAATAGTCAGACCATTTATTTGACTATCCTAAGACATATTAGGGCATGGATTAGGTCTTTGTATGTAATTTTTGTCAGCGCATGGTAGGTAATATCAGTCTATCAACTTTTACCAAGAATAGAAAATTCTTAAGAAGTAACAATATCACTATAGCAAGGACTGGTTCCTCACTCTGTACTCTTAGTAAGTTTCTTCCCCACCTTAGGCTTGAGTTTCCAAAATCATTTACTGAATACCTGATTATGCACTGTATTGAGCTGGTTGCTGAAGCTCATTGTTAGATTTGTGCTTGTATTTGGGGCAACATGTGTAGTGAAGGGACTCTTGATTTGACTCACTGTATCATACATGTGAACCCTCGCTTGCAGATCTCCATGTTCTGAAAACAAGACTTAACACTGAAAAAGAGATTAAAGATTCACTAATGAATGCCGAGATTTAAACAGATAGCAAATAATCAAGATAAACACAGATTAAAGTTTTTTCCAAGCACTTTCAGTAAAATGAGTCAAAATATTTTTATAATCATAAAGAGTAAAAATACACATCTAATTTTTAACATAATGATTTTCAATGAGAAAGAAAATCATCAGTTAGCAGCAAAGTGCTGCTCACTTGATAGTTTCACTTATAAGGACTACATCATGGCAAAAAGCCCCAGAATACCATACTCACTGATTGCTATGTGGAAAATCCAAAAGGTGAGTCATTGTCACAAAACTGATGGTTAAGAGTTTTCAAAGGAGTAAATCTCTTATCTGCATCAATTGTTAGCATTTTTTTAACAGATCAATGTATTTCTTCGATCCGCCTTCTCAGCCAACATGTCTGTTCCTTCTAAGTCTGTAGACATATTTACCTTCCAGAGGAAAATTTAGAAATATTATACTTCTTCACTTAACCTTTAAAGCTGACATTAAATAGCTTCTCTTCTCCAAACTGTATATATAATCATCAAAAGAGAAACCTGAGGAAATTCTCTGTATTACAGTGTAATCATTTTCACAGAAGGAAGCTCTTTTTATGCCATCTAATTAAAATCTTCATTTAAATTTAGTGGCAGAATAAAGCTGATAGATTCTCATCATAAAATTTGGAACAAGCAAGTTAAGCAAAAGTGATTGTTATTACTTAGATATAAAAGTTTCTACTTGTGCTCGAGGTCAGGAGTTCGAAAGCAGCCTGAGCAAGAGTGAGCCTCCGTCTCTACTAGAAATAAAGAAATTAATTGGCCAACTAATATATATAGAAAAAATTAGCTGGGCATAGTGGCGCATGCCTATAGTCCCAGCTACTTGGGAGGCTGAGGCAGGAGGATTGCTTGAGCCCAGGAGTTTGAGGTTGCTGAGAGCTAGGCTGACGCCATGGCACTCTAGCCTGGGCAACAGAGTGAGACTCTGTCCAAA